TACAACTTTCAGTTGTTGTTGTTGTTGCTGTTGTTTTTTTTTTATAAATTTTGCAACTGAAATTTAACAGAAAGTGGTAAGGGACCTTATAGGCAGAGATAGACTAACAGTAAAACTGTTTTATTGAAACCCCTGCTATTTGTCACATAGTCAGCAAACCATCTGTCCAATTACAGGTGACCAATGACACCTTTTTGTAATTTGATACTTGTAATTGGACAACTACACCATTTGTGTGTCAATTATGTGAACTTAAATGGTTTCCTCCTTGATGTTTCCCTAATGATTGTAAAACTCAAGGAAAATACTACTGACTTTTTCATGAGTTCTAAGACTTCTTAATCTGAAAATTTGTTAATGGTATGTAGATCATTTAATAATTAGACCTTGTGCAGTATTGTAACTTGCCTCATGCTGTGTGCTTGTCTGACTTTGAAATTAATTGCTCCATTACTTCCTAAATTGTACTCCACTTGATTTGATTACTATTACTAATCTGTATCTACACATAGTGTACATACTTTACATGTATATCGTTTGCTCTATTTTCCAGTTTTGTACCACAAGGTTACTTTCTCTATTAAATTTGAATGTAATGTGATAATTATTATAATCGTCCACTTCTTCCATCTGACACTGCTCCCCAAATGTCAAATACAAAGTCATCAGGGAACTGGAAGTCAGAAAATTCTTCATCCACAGCAACAGCAAAATCACTTGGATTAGAAAGTGACTTACCCTTCATCACCAGTGTCTCAGCTAAGAAACAAAAACGGATTATCTTGAGCATGATTATAAATAAAATACTGAATTTATCTCTGTTCATTCACACAACAAACTGTTTTGCTTCAATTTTCCTTTGCAAAGAAAGAGAAAAAGGGAATTCACCAGGCAATGATCTTATAAACACAGATAGAGACATCGCTTGGTTGATCACAACCTCTTATGAGTAGCCACAGAAATGAAAAAACAATCACAGAATGGAAGAAACGGTGACAGCACATTTTAAGCATCACAGCAACACTAGAAATATGATCAATCAATCAATCAAAAAGAATTTTAAAAGCATCAAAGTTTACCTAGCTGAGGGGAAACACCCCTCTACTAATATTGGGGACATTTAATATAGAAGCCTACTATTAACACAAACTGTATACAATGCTGATGTTATATCCCCAGCAGGGGACTCCCATATGAAAAGGTCAGGGATGCTCATCAGAAAATTTAAAGTAAACCCTAAAAGGAGACCAATCTGGGCGTGGCTTGAACTTTATTTGACTCCTAAAAGAAGTCACTTAAGGTCATTCCCCAGTATTGCATTGTGCATCCCTACTGCGCATAATTTCACGCATGATTAGCGCGTGTGCATAAAAAAATGGCGGGTTTTTCTTTACGGCTGGACCTCGCCACAGAGGTAAATCGTCATTTTCTCGCAAATGAGTATGGTTACCTACCATTTTTTTTCCTGTTGTTTTGAATTCAGTAATAAATTTCTCTGTGTAAAATAAATATGGACCAATTCTCAGGGTAGAACAAAAAACAATTGTCAGAAACATGAATTTAGCAAGCAATCATGACTACAATGATGGTGCTATTATAAGGATTTATTGGGTATATACAAGGTGCTGCTGCTCCTAAACCAACATGGGGACCCCTCATTTTTATTTCAAAATTTAAGTTCCTATAATATAAACAATCAATAGGCAAAGTTTCACAAAATCTCGGTGCAGGTTCTATTTCAGTGGAGTGACCTCAAAAAGGACTAGGCTTGATTACCAGCCGCTGTTCAGGAAAGGAGCCCATGCTAGTAGACCGAAATTGAGAGACTGGTGGAAATCTAGCCTATAACCAGAGATAAAAGTGTTTTTTAGCTATTATTTCTTCGAGTTGACCCTAGAAGATACTTTGAGGGCTAAAAACAGTGGTCTTTTGTCATGAACACCCTAAGTGAGACCAGAATTATTGATTTATACCCCTAAGCAAGACGACAAGCATCCCTGACCTTTTAATATGGGAGTCCCCCCCCCCCCCCCCCCCCCCCCCCC